TATATATATATAATCACCTGAAAAAATTTTTACCTCCTTCTTAAGAAGCATCTAGAAATAAAGAAGGAAACCAAGAAACAAAGATATGATATTCAGGAAATCCAACAATGCAGACAGGTGAAAGGAATTTTCAAGACAATGGTAAAGAGAAGTTTCAGGATGTCCAGAGAGCAACCTGGCCTGATCAACAGGAGCAAAAAATAAGACAAAAAAACCCCATTGCCTTAGAAATATTCTTAATCTGGCAATACAAAGAGTACTTTTAAAATATGTGAAAGTCTCAAATATTCCTCTTCATGGGTAGGAAAACCTGTATGTATATTTGTTTCTCAGTCACATATATATTGAGAACTTTTCTGTCTTTGTATTACAAACAATATATTGATAACATGTCAAACTCTTCTATTTCCTAATAATGGATATGATCTTTTTATTAACTGAATATTTGAAATTGACATATTTTATGATTCAAAGAGTAATACATCATCTTAAGACTTTAGCATTCTTGCTCATGAATGGAAAAAACTGTATTTTTTTCTCCTTCTAACATTGCTTTGGTAAATTAGTCATCTTTGTAATACTACAAAGAGTACCTTGAAAAAATGTAAAAGGTTTCATGCTTTCTCTAGATGAATCAGAGAAGCATAGCATAATTTTTCATTCAAACAAGTATTGGGAACTTCCCTGTCCTTTTGAAACAGAGTATACTGAAAATATGTAGAACTGTTAAAATAATTGTGAATAATTAGAGAAAATGTATGTATATTTGGTCAGTTAGTGGTGGCTGTGTGCCATTGAGTCCGTTTAGCCTCGTCGTGATACTGTATAGGGTTTCCAAGGCTGTAAATCTTTATAGGATCTGAAAGCCTATCTTTCTCCTGCAGAATGGCTGGTGGGTGAACTGCTGACCTTGCTCTTAGCAGCCCAATCTGTAATCCACTACACCACCAAAGCTCCTTTGGTCAACTATACAATTTTAAGGAAATATAAAAAGTCTTTGAATTCTATTTCATGACTAGGGAAACTGTATATCGTTTCTTATTCTCACATTGTATTGGAAACATCTTGACCATATTATACAAACCATACTTTGAAATCTTACAAAATTGCTTTGCATTTTGTTTTATGAAACAATGTCTATTTATTTTCTCTTTGTACAATTTTTGGGAATTTTCTCGCCATTGAAAACAAAAGTTTTTATACATTCTGTTCATCAATGGATGAAATTGTATGGTGTTGTCAAGTGCCATCCACTCGCTTCCGACTCATAGCGACCCAGTATAGGATACCCAAGGAGCAGCTGGTGACTTTGAACTGCTGTATACGTTATTAACACTTGCAATGGCAACTTCTCCATCCTTGTAAAAGCGAGTATATTAGGAATAAATAAAACTGTTCAGAATTCCATTTTATTAACAGAATAAATTGTATATGCTTTTTCCAATCACACAGTTGGTGAAATTGAAAAGTGAGATTTCTTGTTTATAAGTAGAAGCTGTATATATATTTTTTCTCATAAAAACATTGCCTTAGCATATTCTCAACTTGGCAACATGAAGTTCTTGGGTGGGAAAAACTGTGTATATTTTTTCTCAGTCAAATACATATTGGGACATTTCCATCCTTCTAATAAAAATAGTATATTAGAATCATGTCAAACTTTTATATTTCATAATAATGAATAAAACAAACTGCATGCATTTTCTTACTCTTTGGATGTATTTAAATTGAAGTGTCTTTGTAATTCAATGAGTAATTTTTAAACACTAAGCTCCTTAGAATTCTTGTTTGTGATTGGAACAAAGTATATATTTTTCCTCATTAAAACAAATACGTAGAGTAAGGCCTGGAGAGAGTGAGTCTGTATCTCCTCTCAGAAGGCTTGGCTAAGAATGAGAAGGGTTGGTGATGGGTACAATTTTAAGCAAGAAGATATTTCAGTGATTTGTACTTTCGAAGTGGTTTAGAACCAACACTTCTGTTGTATCTGATGTAATTCATTAAACATATTAAACTATGTTGTTTATATTCTTTTCCAGTACTCACTTGAGCCCACAATCAAACTCATTTTGCATCCTTCCTCCTTCCTGCTTCTTCCCTAGCAGTAAATACTACAAAACACACACACACACGCATGAACACACAACCATAAACACTTCATAATGACCACACAGACACTGTGTGGTCATTATGGGACTGTGCCCAGGAGCTGTGGCCATGCCACTACATCCAGGCTGTAGGGAGGATCGGATGAACTCTGAAAAAAGGGCCCAGTTGAATAGGTTTTTAGTCAAATAAGATAACATCAAGCCTTCAAGGAGAAAACACTTAAGAAAGATTGAAGGTTTAAAAAGACTGAGTCCGTAAAGTTTTTATTTCATGTCCTACACAAGTGGTAACATAGAACTTTTAAGGCATATGTGATTAGCGCAAACTTCACTCAGACTAGTCAGAGAGGTCCCAGCAACAAGATGGGGGTTGGTAAGGGTTAGGGGGGAAAGCAGGTGCAGGGAAGGGGGCAGGAGCAAAGCCCATGTGTCAGTGAAGCTTCCATTTCCATATGGGTGATGGCTCCATCTGTCAGATTTTAACTTCTGTGGAAAGTGCAGGCTTTCAGGAGTTCTGTAGGACAGAGCGAAGAAGTGGTTACTGTTAAGTGCCATCAAGTCAGTTCTGACCCATAGTGACCCTGTATAGAGTGTCTAAGGAGCAGCTGGTAAGCTTGAATCGCCGACCTTGTGGCTCAAACTGACTTTGTAGTCCAGCGTATTAACTAACCCACAGCACCACACCAAGACTCCAAACAAAGAGGTAGGACATTGAAAATCTACCTATATTTACTAACTGTTGAAGGAATAAACAGTTGGGCATGACCCAACAGCACTCAGACACATTATTCTCCTCTTCTTCAGACTGATTAGCCTGCAGAACTTCTCTACTTGCCTGAACAGTTCCAGTGCCAACCCCAGTAAGCCCACCCCAAGGATAATGGCATGGTTCCTCTATGCTTAACCATCTCCCCATCTTGTTTCTTATTGGTGGGGCTCACATGTTTCAATTCATGAAGCTGGGAATAGCCTAGAGAACTATGCTCTCTGCCTCTACTATGCTACATTTCTTTAGCAGGAAATAAACTAGAGCAGCAAGAAGCATTAAAGCACCTAGAACTTTAAGTTTGAGGAGCAGGAGGAATGGTGCGGGGAACAGCACAGTCATACTTCCTCCCCTCCTGGAGGCTGTAGTTTTGTTCACTATAACTTGAATACTCACAGCAGAGGCTCTAGACAGTGGTTCCTTATAGCACAATTACAGGGAGTAACTGTGAGCACTGAATCAGTATCTCCCCAGCCTGGGTCTGAGAATCATTATTTTAATATGCACACTAAACTCAAAGAAGGACTGTCCTACAAGCGCACATTATTCCCCAACCTCTTCCAAATGACCGCAAGTGACGAAATGAAGTCCAACATAGTTCTGTGCAAAGCTGTGCTTTATTAGATTTGGCCTCTTAAGCAACTGATCTTCTACATGTGTGGTAGCTTTTAGTTATCAGAACTCATCATTTTCAAGTAGCACAGTCTAAAAGAACTTTCTGTGAGGATGGAGATGTTTTCTCTATTGACCAACATGGAACCACATGTGGCTACTGAACAGTTGAAATGTGGATGGTATGACTAAGGAACTTGATTTTTAATTTTAGTTAACTTAAATTTTATTAGCCATTATGTGTCTAGTGGCTACCATATTAGACAACATTTCTAGAAAGAAAGGAGAAAATTGGGCATGTGTACACAAACAGCTTCATTAATTAGTAAAAAGATGGAATTCTGCATGTCCAGGAAGGTCACTACCCAAGTACCAATCCTGTCTCTCCCTTACTATCTGCCCATATTAACTGGCCTTTCATGGTATTTTTCTCTCATAATTCCATCTGTAGGTGTGATCTCACAGGGTCACAGCTTACTCCCCCTTTAGTACCACTACACAGAACCCATGGAGTTTCTCCGACTTACGTGAGGTTGAACATTGTGCCAGGTTATCAGCAGCTATGACGTACTTTTCTCCTAAGTATTTCTCATAGGTTGTTTTGTCCTGAAGGTTGGCCAAACATTGTGTGTCATCCCTGAACAGCAGGTCACTGGTTTCAGATCGGAACAGGCAAAACTTGCCCTCAGAACACTGAGTTCCCTGTTTCCCAAACTCAGTCTGTCAAATGAAGAGAAAATACATAAGAACCTGTGGCAGTGAGCACTTGAGAGCACATGGATGGGAAGGGGCTGAATCTCTGAGCCAGTCCTGGGTAACAAGGAAAGCTGACAGGTGAGTCTCGAGATCATTCTACCTGCGTTGCTTGATATTTCCCATAGTGGAGTTTAGTTACATACTTCCCTGTAGCTCCCAACCCTTTCTATCGGGTCCATCCTGGTTCTACCCTCCTCGGATGGGTCCCCTTCATTCACTCCTGACTTCTTTGTTATCTCTTCCCCATTTCATTGATCAGGTCCCTTGGGGGCTGCTTATAGGAAATAAGAAGACAGTAACATATCCCTTCATACGCCATCTTGTTGGTGGTGCTGGTGGTTGTGAGCAGTGGAGTCGGTTCCAACTCATAGCGACCCTGAATAGGTTTCCAAGGCTGTAAATCTTGACAGGGGCAGAAAGCCTCATCTTTCGCCCACAGAGTGACTGGTAGATTCACACTGCTGACCTTACACTTAGCAGCCCAACTCATAACCCACTACACTACCAGAGCTCCTTATATGCCATCTTAAGTTTCAAAAAATAAACAAAACCCACTTGACCTGGCTTCAGTGGCTGGAAGATCAGAACTCAACTAGAGAAACGAAGAAGAGGAAAAAAGGACTAATCCTCTACAGTTTGAGGAACTTGGCCTATACTCATGGATGTAGTAGTTCAAAAGAGGGAACAAATCTTTACAGAGAGGATCATTCCCACCCCTCAGTACACAGGGTTAGCAGGGATGGGCAACTTAGACATTGGCTACCCAAAATGGGGGGCTACAAAGCCATGAAGTGACTGGCTTACAAGTTTTCGAGAGAGCTTAGTTTCAGAGGATACAGAGGAAGGTAGAATCTCTACTCAGTGGTTTCCAACCTGTCTAGATGGGGCTGGTGAATGGAGATGGGATAAGATTCTTGTGGTTCAATAGTGAATAATTGCTATCAGGACCGATTGTGAATGTTGCAAATATAAAGGTAGATGATTTATAGCAATAGCAGGGGAGTGGTTGATCTTAAAGTCCAGGAGCAGAGGATCCTGGGACCATCAGAGGAGAAGAGCAGAGTGTGGGACCCTATCCAGAGAAGCAACAATGCCAGAGATAGAGGCAGAGACAATGACAAGGAGAGATGGAGCAGCTGGGGGCTCTAGACTCAAGGAGGGAGAGGTGCTGTATGCTGGCAGCCAGGGGGCAGGCTTGCAGGGTATGGCCTTTGGTTGTTTGAATGGTTATATATTCCTGAGTGCTTCAGTGTACATAAAAAAAAAAAAAAAACTGGAGGGAATGGAAGCAAATGTTGTTGAATGATGATGCATGGAGGGGACTTTAATCATTGCAATGAAACGAAATACAATAGGGTGAATGTAAAGCTGATGTTCTCCCATGTAAACTATCACTCAATTCACAATACAAACTTAAAAATAAATAAATGAATGAATAAATGAAAAACTAACTGAGAGCTGTCTCTGAGGGGAAGGTCTTCGGGATTAGAATTTTCAGGCAAGTGACCACAAGGTAGGAACTGGGTAGTTGATTTCTCCAGAGAGCCAGCTATCTTATTTGTGGGGGTGCTGTGCTTTTTTAGCTATTGGTAATAGTAACTAGTGTGCCTAAGTGAGAGTAACATAAATTCCAGTCTTCACAAATCATATCGTAGAATGCTGGGAAATGCGGTCATTCTTCTAAAATTTTCAAAGAGAAAGTGTGAAAAATGAGAAGACCACTAAGCAAAGTCAGGAAGCTGCAGAAGGGAAGATTCTTGATCCCAAGGATACATGGATCAGGCACGTGACTTTTCTTCAGTGTCCAGGACTGGGAGACAAACAAAACTGAGCACTTCCTGTAAACCAGTCATTTTCCTATGCCATTGGGATGCATTGCCTCACTTAATCCCTACAGTAATTAAGAAGTAGGTAAAATTATCACACAACCTATATTACAAATGAGAGAAAACTCAGGCACAGAGAGGCTCAGTAACAAACATACCTAAGATGTACCAGTTAGAAAGCCACAAAGCTGAGATTTGAACCCAGATAATTGAGTTGAGTCCATGGCCTCCCAATTCTAGTTTCCAGAAAGAGAATTCTGGGCTTGGATTTGGATTTAGCTGTAAACATCTTCAAATAATACATGTTCATCTAGGAAGAAAGGGTGGGAGGCCCTGGTCAGTCCATACCTGTTGGTTGAGCAACAACTGGCGAACACAATCTGCCTTATCCTTCCGTGAGACCACAGCGTGATTTGGGACTTCGGCCAAGTGGCAGCTTTCAGCCTCCTTCACCCCCTTCCGGGAGTTATCCAGACACAGCAACTCAAAGTCATTGCTACTCAAATCCTTAGCCCACGCAGCAGGGTTACTTCCTGGAGAGAAGGAAGGTAGATCAGCTACAGCTGCCTGACTGCTAAATCCAATGCACACACTGTAGTTACAGATATATGGAGGGTGAGAGATACCTGCGTGGTCTACAAGGTGACATTCAACCCTTGCTTAACCAGGAATTACTAGTGTCAGCACCCTTTCGACCTTTTAATGAGTGAACTCCACTTTGTGGATGTTGTTCATAAATTCCAAGCATTCTCTATGTGCTGCTTTAGCATAGGAAGAGGATGACCCTCTCATCCAGGAGTTCCAATCTCTGTGTGCTGTGTCATTTGACACTGCTAAAAAAAATACTCTTCTCCTGAGGTCTCTTTGGAAGCTGCACGAGTGTTTTAAATCTGACTCACTCTTACTAGTTCTAAGTGAAGATGTGTCTTGTCATATGTGTAGGATCAAGAGGAAGAGAAATAAATGTCTCTTTTGGGAAGGAAAAGAGGACACTGGCAAGACTGAGGCACAGAATCTGATGTTTCTGTGGGTGAGAGTGGAATAGCCTCACTGCAACAGATTCACAGGTTAAGGGGATGAAGAGGCGACTGACAGCCAGGCACTAAAGGCCCAGAGGGCTGGAAGTGGAGTGTGAAGCTTTATTCAGGAGATAAAATGGGTCTTTGTGGACACGTGAATGTAAATCAGTGTGGTAGCATATAAACTTGGACAACTTGCACCTCAAATTATCAAGGAAAATTAATTGGACTAGGAGTAGTCTGAACTAGGAGGGTAAGGTTACTAGAAATCTTGAGGGACTGTTATATAATAAAGTAATATATATAGAATGCTGGAAATTTAATAGAAAAGAGCTTTATGAACAACATCCATAAATATATATATTTGTCTAATAAAAGTTTGCTATAATTGTTAAGTGCTGTTGAGTCGGTTCTGACTCATAGTGACCCTGTATAGGTTTCCAAGGAGCAGCTGGTGGGTTTGACCCACTGACCTTGCAGTTATCATTCCAGTATTTATCCTACAGCACCACACCTAGACTCCCAATGAAAGTCATGTATGCATTATTGTAATGCATGTTTCATCAGTACAATACTAAAGAGTATAAGGAAGAAAAGTTTGAAATACTTATAATCCCATAGTATATACCTTCAACATTATGTATGTCTTCCAGTCTTTCTTCTACACATATACACAAGTGAGATCATAAAATACACATTACTGTGTATCCTGTTTATTCTCATCATAATATATTATAAGTATCATATTCCTAAGGCCTATTTTGAAGAAATAAAATAAGACACAGACAGACTAATCTAGGCCTGATCAATACAGGGCATAAGATCTTCAATAGGAATAGAGGTAGTAAGAAGTAGAGTGGACTCTGGGAGAAAGATGAAAAGGCTGGATTTACACAAGTTGAATTTATAATGCCAGTGTACTTTCTATATAAAAATGACCACTTGGCAATTGGAGACACTAGAATGAAATTTAGATGGGAGGTCAGGCCTATCTAAATTTTATTCAGGAGATAAGGATTATGGAGTTATTGTAAAGAGTAGAGAGTTGAGGCTGAGAGAGGAGTCCTACTCAGGAATGTATAAAAAGAAATCAAGGTGAAAAAGACTCAGCCTTAGGGGTACATTCAGGTATCAACAAGAGTCCTTGAAGGTGAACCAAAAATAATGGGGGGAAGAAAGAAAAATTAGCCAACCCAATATTCCTTTCTTCAAATAAAAATTCTCTTTGTGTGTATAGAGCGCACAAATGTAGATGTTCCTCAGATACAAGCTTGAAATACTAGTTTTCTGGGTTTGAAGGCTTAGAACCATAGGCTCGGGGGACAGTTCAATCGACTGGCATAACATAGTTCAAAAAATCATGATTTGCATCCTAGTGCAGTGAGTAGAGTCTGGGTCTTAAAAGCTTACCAACGGTCATCTAACATATAACAACAAGTCTCTACTTGCCAGGAGCTAAAAAGTAAGAAATTAAGCAAAAGTGAAGTGAAGAAACAATTCTATATGAGCCAAATCTCATCTACTCTTAGGTCATAAGAACTAGATGGTGTCTGGAGACCAACACTCACTGTTTTGATTGGGGCCACATTAACTGGTCCTGGATAGAATGGGGAAAACTATATATGGAACAAGACTCAATTCTAATTCAATGGGGCAAAAAAAGAAAGAAGGAAAGAAAGAAAAAGCCAGACAAATTGAAAAAAGCAGAGAACAGAGGACTCCTATAAGACCTTGGGGGACAGTTCAGTCAACTGGCATAACATAGTTCCAAAAATCATGATCTGCATCCTAGTGAAGTGAACAGAAACTAGAACTGAGCCGATTCTCTAAGACCACCTTCTAGTGAAACAGCAGAGTGACACACAAGAGAAACACAACTGCCCATAAGATAAGTTCCCTGCTTAAAACCCAACTGTCTGAGGCCTAAAGGTCAACAACTTCTTAAATGCAAAGAAGAGATGATAACGGCACAGACAACCTACAGCACTGGAGAAAGAATAACCTGACACAATTAAAGAGAATGTTAACATACTGTGATAAATGTAACTGATGTCACCACAAACAATCTGTATGGAAAATATCAAATGGGACCCTAGCTTGCTGTGTAAACTTTCACCAAAAATTCATAAAATATTACTTTAAAATTGTTTATTCAGTAATGACTGTGTGCCAGGTGGGAGCCCTAGTAGCACAGTAATGAAAGTACTCAGATGCTAACCAGAAACTCGTGGTTTGAATCTGCCACTGCACAGGAGAAAAATATGGGCAGTTCTATCCTGTCCTCTAGGATTGCTATGAGTTGGAATTGACTGGATGGCAGTGGAGTGGTGGATGTGGCAAGTACTATTTTAGGTGCTAGGAATGCAAGGGAAAAAAGAGCTCACAGTGTTTCTGTACCTATTGACAACCACTGTCGTGAAGTCAATCCTGACTCACAGTGACCATACAGGACAGAGTGGAACTGTCCTACAGGGTTTCCAAAGCTGTAGTCTTTCTGGGCTGAAAGTGAAGAAGACTTTAAGCACTTATTAATGAAGACCAAAGACTACAGCCTTCAGTAGGGATTAGACTTCAATGTAAAGAAAACAAAATTCCTCCCAAGAGAACAAACAAGATGGCAGATTGGGTGGACATGCAGTAAGAGCTCCGCCAGCAACAACACAGAATACCCGAACAAACAGTCTCAGGGGATGGTCCCAGAACTCTGAACCACATAATAAAGGAATATTTAGAAGGTTGGAAGGCTTACAGATGGGGGAATTTGT